ATAGACTTTTCCCGAGTCTTCCTTTCCCTGGTATTTGGTCTTTCCATGAGTCCACGGAAGGTATCGATACTTAATCATGTGCTGCAAACATACAACCATACCATTAGCAACAGATCACGAGTGATACAACTCATGAGTGTATGAGTGCTTACTTTGATCTGTCTCTTCATAGTAATGCCGAATAATGTGATGAAGTAAAGCAAAAGGATGGGCCAAAACACGGGAATATTGAACGCTTCAAACATTGTACAAAACAGTGCTATTAATGTAGCTTTTGTTGAGGTATGCCTTTATTATGAGACAAACAACATTGAATGACAATTGCATAACGTTATCATAGTATTCATAATGAATTACCAAAATTTGAATTCTGGCAAACGTCTAATAAATGGTCTAAACTCTTCATTAGCACTGGTAGGCAGAGACGGCCCCTCATCTATAAGTGGTAAAACAGGTGTCAGACAAATGTGTAACGAGTGGTCAAAGTGTGGTCACCTTCACCTTCGAAGTCATCATAAACGGCGGGATCTATTTTCGGCGTTAAGAACGCGATCAACATATTTAAGTAATATATTCCCAACGCATACGTTATTATATACCATCCCTACAGACATTCAATTACACAACAAATCATTAAAAACTTCATATCATTAACGAGAGAGTGGTTCACAGACTTGATATATAAACACTCGACCCATGAATGCAATGAAGACTACAAATGTGAATACCTGTTAAATGCACACATAGTTTAGCAAATAATTACAATGAAATTTAAAGCCCATTCAAAGTGAACTCAAATATCAATTAACAAAATAAACAAATCAATGATTCAGTCAAAGGGCACTTGAATTTTGGAGATTATATACACTGTTCATGAGTACAATTGTGGATCAGTTTAGAGATACTCTTTTAGACGAGATATTTAACGGTCTATTAAAGGACAACACATTAATTGGACATTTGAATCAACTAAGAAATGGTGATATATGTGTGGTTTGGGAACCAATTGGTGAGACAAACCCATCGATAGGCGACGTGAGGGGTCCACGAGTCCAATAGGCTTTGGTAACGCTGTACNAACACATTAATTGGACATTTGAATCAACTAAGAAATGGTGATATATGTGTGGTTTGGGAACCAATTGGTGAGACAAACCCATCGATAGGCGACGTGAGGGGTCCACGAGTCCAATAGGCTTTGGTAACGCTGTACACAATGAGTGCAATCATATAATTAGTATTCATTTGCTGACAGTATTTGTAATTATGAACACAAATCACATGAAGTAATGATTGGATTACTTGTGAAAGTCTTGTCATGAATTTGGAGACCGACGATGGCTGCGATGACTCCATGAATGGCTCTTCCATTGAATCCATGATAATAGCGGTCGACTCGTGGTGTGATAGGAATCAGTTGGACATGAATTGGTGGTCAACTCAGTCATGAATTTGGAGACCGACGATGGCTGCGATGACTCCATGAATGGCTCTTCCATTGAATCCATGATAATAGCGGTCGACTCGTGGTGTGATAGGAATCAGTTGGACATGAATTGGTGGTCAACTCTATGGTCAGCACTGGTGTGACATTTAATTGGGATTACTGTCAGTAAATGAAAGACACGAAAGCCTTAACAGTGAATGCGATTACAAATTGCAATACGAGATGACTCGACACCACATGCGCTCAACACTGCAAACACACACTCATTGCACTCATCATTGCATTGCATGCCATAGACAGTGCATTGGAGACACACACAGCCTATCCATAAGCATATGCCATACACACCGGAAACACACGTTATTTCACTCTCCCTTTAATATTTAAAGTTTGAGAAATTCATTCAAAAATCTTAATATATTTTAATTGTATTCATTAAAGAGATAGTGAGAGCAGGGCTTCACTATTGATATGATTAGTAGTTATGAAACACACGACACGACTCGCACTGTCTTACGGTTATGAATGTGTTTTGTTGGCTTGTATTGAGTCCTATGCGGACCTCATATAAAGCCGGTGTCTATGCAATGCATACAATCACATGAAGTATTGCACAGTTTTTTAAAGACATGCCATTCCTCCCGACAGACCATTCATACGCAAGTGATGAGTAAAATGTGATGAAATGATTGAATACAGAGTGCAATGCATTTGTAAGGCTTATGTCATTTGGACACAAGTGCTCCGTT